ACTCTTAAGCCTCCCTGGTAAGATCTATTCGGGGGTTCTGGAGAGGAGGGTCAATCGGATAGTCGAACCTCGGATTGAGGAGGAGCAGTGCAGTTTTCATCCTGGTCGTGGAACACTGGACCAGCTCTACACTCTCAGTAGGGTCCTGGAGGGTGCGTGGGAGTTTGCCCAACCGGTCTACATGTGCTTTGTGGACTTGGAGAAGACGTTCGACCGCGTCCCTCAGGGAACCCTGTGGGGGTTACTCTAGAAGTATGGGGTACCGGGCCTTTTGATACGGGCTGTTAGGTCCCTGTATGACCGGTGCCAGAGCCTGGTCTGTATCGCCTGGTCCGCATCGCCGGCAGTAAGTCGGGCTTGTTCCCGGTGAGAGTTGGACTCCGCCAAGGTTGCCCTTTGTCACTGATTCTGTTCATAACTTTTATGGACATAATTTCTAGGTGCAGCCAAGGTGTTGAGGGGATCCATTTTGGTGGCCATAGGATTACGCGTCTGCTTTTTGCAGATTATGTGGTCCTATTGGCTTCATCAGATCGTGATCTACAGCTTTCGCGGGAGCGGTTCGCTGCCGAATGCGACGTGGCCGGGATGAAGATCAGTTCCTCCAAATCCAAGGCCATGGTCTTGAGCCGGAAAAGGGTAGAGTTCCCTCTCCGGGTCAGGGAGGAGGTCCTACCCCAAGTGGAGGAGTTCAAGTATCTTGGGGTTTTGTTCACGAATGAGGGAAAAATGGAGCGTGAGATCGATAGACGAATAGGTGCAGCGTCTGCAGTGAAGCAGGCACTGTACAGGTCTGTCGTGGTGAAGAGAGAGCTGAGTCAAAAGGCGAAGCTCTCAATTTACCGATCGAGCTACGTTCCTACCCTCACTATGGTCACGAGCTTTGGGGGTTGTGACCGAAAGAATGAGATCTCAGATACAAGGGGCCGAAATTAGTTTTCTCCACAGGGTGTCTGGGCTCTCCCTTAGAGATAGGGTGAGAAGCTCAATCATCCAGGAGGGACTCAGAGTAGAGCTGCTGCTTCTCCACGTCGAGAGGAGTCAGTTAAGGTGGCTTGGGCATCTGTTTAGGATACCTCCTGGACGCCTCCCTGGTGAGGTGTTCTGGACATGTCCCATGGGGAGGAGGCCCAGAGGAAGACCTAGGACACGCTGGAGGGACTATGTTTCTCGGCTGGCCTGGGAAATCCTTGGGATTCACTCCGGAAGAGCTGGCCCAAGTGGCTGGGGAGAGGGAAGTCTGGGCCTCTCTACTTATGCTGCTACCCCCACGTCCTGACCCCGGATAAGCGGAAGAAAATGGATGGATGGATCGATAAATCAAGTCAGACCATCTTATCTATCTTCTAACACAGGATCATCCTGATTAGGTCAAGGGTGTCAAAGAGGGAGCATTCCAAGTAAAAAAAGACTTCCTGTTCTGAGGGGGTGGGGCTTTCATGATGTCAAAATACGATGGCATTGGATTGTCGGGTATCCAACAGGGATGAGTCATGCCAAGTTTGTTGCATTTTGGTCTTTCAATGTCTGTTTGGGCGTCTTTCAATGCCCAAAAATGATCCTTTGACCCAAAATGGCCGACTTCCTGTTGAGTTTGGACCAGGGCTCCAAGAGACATTTTCATAGGTCCTGACAAGATACAGATGTTCGCCAAGTTTCAGAATTATCGGTCAATAAATGGCTTGGGGCTGAGGTTCTAAAATATTCTAGGGGGCTTTGTGTGGAGGCCATTCGGCAATTATCATGGCTTCCTGTTCAAGGGGTGGATAATGATTGATCATACTGATTTTGGTGAACCGCGGTTCAAATCTGTGGAACTTAGAGCCAAACGTATGACGCTGGCGTTACGTCTTACTTCGCCACGTTGCGACGCCCACATGCTCCACCCCAAACTGTCAGTGTTGGAAAGCAAGTTACATCAACATGTCTTCGGTCACTGGACACACTGTCATGCTGATCAGGTGACATGGGTCAGATGGGGACCATTCAATGTAAAACTTTATACCTTTTTGTTGTCAGGGTGCGTGGCTTAAGTGATGTCATGATTTGACCATTCAGTCTTGCAGGGGACCGGATGTGGATCAATCACTGAAAATTTGATGTCTCAGACAGTTTTTGTGTAGGAGCTATTAGTGTTTTGTTTTTTATGGCGAAATGTCCAAATTTGAGGTCTGGCCCTTCCCCTTCTGTATGCTTCGGATTGCACCGTTTTGATAACTTTTCATCCCCCATGCCTTTTGACCAAAATGGCCAAGTTTGAAACCAATCGAGCGAAATCCCTAGGAGGAGTTCATTCAAATGCGGAGGCTGTAAACCACCAAAAAGGTGTGAAAATTGGGACGACATTCCAAAATGGCCGCCTTCCTGTTTATCGTACAACGTTTGTGTCAGAGGCTTTCTGTGCATCTTGGGGAATTGGACAAGTGTACCAAATTTCATGTTTCTACGACAAACTAAGGTTAATGCGGAGGATATTTTGAATATTTCCAGGTGGTGCTCTTGAGCCGTCTCTGTTGTGATTTTTGCCACGCCCTTAAAATATGTAAATTTTCACCAGTCCTGATGCGTCTGCCAAATTTGGTGACTTTTGGGATATGATAAGGCCCCCAAAAGTCCAATTCATTTGGCGGAAAAATTGTAGCTCGAGCCTGAACAGAGCGATTACAATAGGCCTTCACAGCACTTCGCTGCTCGGGCCTAATAATGACAACACCGTGGTCTAATGCTTAAGTACAGGCATTTTTTGTGCTTGATGGTTGACGACAGAATTCAGAGCGAGCTGGATGGAGCTCTGCCAGTCCCCGACTCTCCTGGGTCCTCTCCACTGGAGCCGCGAAGCCCCCTCAGGCCAGGCAGGGCATCATCTTCCCGGCTCCGAGCTCCGCCGGTCACCACGGAAGATCCGCCGTGCTGCCGACTCACAGGAGCATGCAAGGCTGGGGCCCAGACCCTGGCCTCGCATGCTCCTGAAGGCCAGACCCCGAGTCCCAGCAGGCAGGGGCCGACCTGGACGGGTCTGGGATGGAGGGTGGAAACGATTTTTCCAAACATTTTATGTATAAAATAATATTAATAATTTTTTTCTTAAATTTTCATCAGTGAAGATTAAAAAATTAAAATATAAAAAAAATATGCTGGCTTTATCATGAAATCCTATTTTCTCCTTAATGACTATTAAATAATCTAAAGTAAACTCAGCTGAAAAATCATAAAAAGACGCAAAACTATTAGATCTCTCAGGAATATTTCCCTCAAATATGTTTAAGAAGAGCTATAGCCTTTAGTTCAACTTTATTCTAACCTACAGATGTACAAATCACAAAACAAGAATTAAACTTTAAAGCAAATCTAAAAATAAAAAATATCTGTGACCAAGAAACAAAACTACACATCTAAATTAAACAATAAAAGTAGATGCAATGAGTGCAAATACATCAAGTGATGAAGAAAACATGAAATTTTTAATATAGATTTTTTTTTGTAGAATCTGCTTCATCAGGAATTTAATGGTGATTTAATGGCTCATTAAAAGTTCATTAGCTTCAAACTTCAAACTAAATTCTCACCCTGCACTGAAACCTGCTTCAGGGTCTTACCACCACCAGCTGGTGAGGCGCGTGACGTCAATTTTTGAACTCTGAAGCTGCGCACTAGAACCAGCAGTGGCAGCTTATGGAGTTTCCATGTGAAATCACTAAAGTATAATGTTCTGTGAAAAAAAGGGTTTGAGAATAAAACCTAAATAAATGAAATATAAATAAAATGTTTGTATTATTATAGATGCAAACATGTCTTGTAGATAGGTATTTTATCCTCAAAGTATCCACGGAGAAAACTGGGTCACAGCTTTTCCCGAACTTATAAAAAGCGACATGAGTTTGACAGCAGGGGGGGGTGGCAGGTGAAGCAGGTGGAGAGACGCAGCAGAAGAGCTCTCTCTTCCTTTTATGAAATAGGTGAAATTGATTTATTTCAGAGTCTCTTTATTTTCCTACGTAAAGTCTAATAAGTGAGACAATTCATTTTTGTTTGGTGTTAATTTTCATGAAGGAGTCTGTGAGTGGCATTTTATTTTGAAGTTACGATTGGAACAGCTGATTCTTGTTTATTAAATATAGCTTGCTCCACCCTCCTGCACTTCTGTTCTGACGTGTCCGAGCGAGTTTTGTTTTACTGTTGTTTACAAATTGATCATATTTCTAACCTTTGAAAAATAATTTAAAGAACTCTCTTGTGCGTGTATAAGCTCCCGTTTATACAGGAGTTTGTTACAGGTGTGTTGTAACAGCAGTTCCATTCAATGTGAAGATGGGCACGAGGTGCTGTAGTCGCTGCGATGAGCCCAGATTCTGACAGTGCACGTTTTGTTTTTATGCAGATTAAACAGCATTCAGTTCAACGCTCGTCATCATTAAACACAACGCAGAGTAAACTATAAGAAAAATAAAAGCGAACTGACAGGTTGATATTATTTGGACCGAGCTGAATTAATATCCGGCCAAGTTCAGCACGTTACACAGCACAGTTTTCTCTTTGCTGGATTTAAATATCCTCAGTCCAGCCCCAACCTCTTCACCTCCAGTTTTTCCTCAATAGACATTAAGGAAACGGGGTTATTGATTAAATAATCACCACGTTCATGCTAATATTGCTCGCCATCGCGTCTACTAAGTTTACGCTAAACCACGCCCACATCCACTCGCGCTGAGGCACGTCATTGTATGTCCATCCTCATTGGATGAATCCTGGGCTGTGGGCTGACCCTGGGCTTAACAAAATTAGCCTCAATGAGCCGCAAATCGAGTGGGCGTGGCAAGACATCTGTCAATCATTCTGAACCATGACGAAACAGTAACAGAAAGGGGCTGTCAGAATTTAGCCCTTTGGAACGACCCTGGGATTTTTCCCAAGTGGTTTGACCCCAGTTTTTTGTAAATTTAACAAAATGTGATGCATTACTTCTAAAATGTATTTTTGTATTTGAACATTTCATTTATTACCTGACCACATCCATTGAAGCAGCACCAGACTTGAAGAAATCTGTGGAGTCTTCAATCTGGTTTAGATTCGACAGGATGCTCTGCCACACAACCTGAAAGAAACATGGAAAATTAAAACAAGTAAAGTTCCTACAGCTTAAATGTCCTATCACAGTGTCAGGTCATACCCTCATCTGCTCAGCGAATATTTTCTCCTCCTCACAGAGCTCCACAGAAACACTGCTCCTGGAGCAGAAGTATTGTGCTGCAGAAATCATCTTTCCATCTTCATACTGCAGGCATTTCACCATTAGCTGTAGAGACAAGAACTATAGTTTCACCAACGAACCAGCGGACCATAATTTCTAACTAGAAAGTTCCGGAAGAAACTTTGATGGGGACTGCCATGTTGTGGCCAGTTTAAAATTTTGATTTGACAGTACTGCGTGTCTCTGCAGAGACAAACAACCATTCACTCTCTCACTCACACCTAGAGACAATTTAGAACAAATCAGTCTAACATGCATGTTTTTGGCCTGTGGGAGGAAACTGGAGTACCTGGAGAAAACCCACACATGTACAGAGAGAACATGCAAACTCCACCCAGAAAGGTCCCTTGACCAGGATTTGAACCGGTAACCTGCTTGCTGAGAGGCAGCAGCTCTACCAGTTGCGCCACCGTGCTGCCCTTTTTAAATATCAATTTTTTTAATATCAAAGTATTTTTAGTGCAATTTAAGTTCACATAGAAGTATTTCAGGTTGCCCATCATCTTCATCTGGATGTATCCTAAGACACATCTTACTGCTGTGCCACTGACGTTTCAACGTTTTTATGACACGTAAAACAGTGATGGGTTACAGTAGCACACTACAGTGCACTAAAATGTTTTCAAGTACTAAACAGAAGTGCTGTGATTTATTTATTTTGTTTCTGATTTTGTTTTGCCAAGTCCTGAATTACTGACAATCTACACAAGTACACACTTCAAAATACAGTAGTCTCTCGCTACCCAGCGTTATATTACATATACAGTACTGTACATATTTGCAAGAGTGTGGGAAGGGTTTATAAAGCCTTAAAATATATAAAAGCACAAAAATAAATATAACGTTTCTACTTTGTGGTTGTTCACTTGTTGCCGGGGGTTCCGGAACCTAGCTCCCGCGTTAAACGAGGGACTACTGTAAAGCGATATAGGTTCTTTGTCACAAAACTTATCATGTCCAAAGATTTTCTCTGTGTACTACTAGTTTTAATTAGGTATCCTATTCAAATATATTTCAACCGAAGAACTATGGTAAAAAAGTTGCACTGTAAAAAGGGCATTGAGGCATATGCTCAATTGGCTGACTCACCGCTTCACCATCGTTTCCAAACAGCACCAGACCATTCTTGGTGACAAGGCCAGGCTGGCTGGCTCCGGGAATCTCCAGTGGCTGACCTTTGGCCCCTGTGCCTCTGTCCATCAGGGTGGAGCCAGTGAAAGTTATTTTCTGCAGAGAGCCATTAGAAAGTGCAACAAAAAATGAGGACCCAACAGTTCTGTGATTAATTATTTTGGCCTGCTTTAACCTTCAGAGGGTCCTTTAACTTGATGACAACAAGTAGGGAAAATCAAATACTTAACTGATTAAAAATACAATTTTATATGAACATATTTATACACAATAAAGTAGTCAGTCTTTTAGAGCAATCTCTGTCTGTAATAAAACATGTCTAAATTAAATTAATCCACCCATCCATCTATCCATTATCTTCTGCTTATTCCAAAGTCGGGTCACGGGGGCAGAAGCTTGAGCAGGGAGGCCCAGACATCACTTTCCATAGCCACCTCTTCCAGCTCTTCTGGGAGGATTCCAAGGCATTCCCAGGCCAACTGAGAGACATACTATCTCCAGCATGTCCTGGGTCTTCCCCGGGGTCTCCTCCCAGTTGGACATACCTGAAGCACCTCTCTAGGGAGGCACCATGGGGGCATCCTTACCAGATGCCCGAACCACTTCAACTGGCTCCTCTCAACGTGGACGAGTAGAACTGCTACTCCGAGTCTCTCCCAAATAACTGAACTTCTCACCCTATCTCTCGGGGAGAGTACAGCTACCCTGCGGAGAAAACATATTTAAACCGCCTGTATCCGCAATCTCATTCTTTCAGTCACTACCCAGAGCTTATGACCATAGCTGAGGGTAGGAACGTACACCGACCAGTAAACAGAGAGCTTTGCCTTACAGCTCATCTCTCTCTTCACCACAACGAACAGGTACAGAGTCCGCAATACTGCAGATGCTGCACCAATCTCTCCGTCAATCTCACGCTCCATTCTTCCCTCACTCGTGAACAAAACCCCAAGATACTTGAACTCTTCCACTTGAGGCAGAACCTCACCCTCGACCTGAAGAAAGAAATCCACCCTTTTCAGGTTGAGGACCATGGCCTCAGATTTGGAGGTGCTGATTCTCATCCCAGCCGCTTCACAATCGACTGCGAACCACTCCAGTGAGAGCTGAAGATCACGGCACGATGACGCCAACAGGACCACATCATCTGCAAAGAGCGGAAATGGAATCCTGAGGCCACCGAACTGGAAACCCTCCGCCAACTGGCTGCACCGAGAAATTCTGTCCATAAAAGTTATGAACAGAATCGGTGACAACGGGCAGCCCTGGCAGAGTCCAACTCCCTGAAGGGGTCCGACTTACTGCCGGCAATGTGAAACAAACTCTCGCACCACTTGTATAGGGACTGAACAGCCCGTAACAATGGGCCTCCAATCCCATACTCGCGGAGCACCCCCCACAGTGTACCCCGAGGAACATGGTCGAATGCCTTCTCCAAGTCCACAAAACACATGTAGACTGGATGGGCAAACTCCCATGACCCCTCAAGGACCCTAGTGAGGGTAAAGAGTTGATCCAGTGTTCTACAGCCAGGACAGAACCCACATTGTACCTCCTGGATCTGAGGTTTGACAAACAATCAGACTCGCTTCTCCAGTACCCCTGAATAAACCTTACCAGGGAGGCTAAGGAGAGTGATGCCCCTATAATTGGAGCACACCCTCCGCTCCCCCTTTTTGAAGAGGGGAACCATACCCCCAGTCTGCCAGTCCAGTGGCACAGCCCCCAATGTCCACATGACGTTGCAAAGGCATGTCAGCCAATACAGCCCCACAATATCCAGAGCCTTAAGAAAATCAGGGTGAATCTCATCCACTCCCGGAGCCCTGCTGCCTCTGAGCTTTTTAACTACCTGGGCGACCTCAGCCACGGTTATGGACGGATCAACCCCAAAGTCCCCCGACTCAGCTTCCTCCATGGAAGACGTGTTGGTGGGATTGAGATGGTCCGAGAAGTATTCTTTCCACCTCCCGACGACATCACTGGTTGAGGTAAACAGCACCCCACCTTCACTGAACACAGTGTTAGTAAAGTTCTGCTTTCCCCTCCTCACCCACCTGATGGTTTGCCAGAATCTCCTTGGAGCCGACCGAGAGTCTCTATCCAAGGTCTTACCAAACTCCTCCCACATCCAAGCTTTTGCCTCAGCAACAGCCAAGGTTGTACACCGCTTGGCCCTCCAGTACTCCTCAGCTGCCTCCAGAGTCCCACTGGCCAACAAGGCCCGATAGGGCTCCTTCTTCAGCTTGACAGCCTCCCTAACCCGGGGTGTCCACAACCGAGTTCGTGGATGACCACCACGAGAAGCACCGACAACCTTGCGGCCACAGCTCAAGGCAGCTACCTCAACAAGTAAGGTGTGGAACATGGCCGACTCAAATGCAATGTCCCCCACCTCAGCTGGGATGTGTTTAAAGCTCTCCCAGAGGTGTGAGTTGAAGATCTCTCTGACAGGTTATTCTGCCAGGCATTCCTAGCAAACCCTCACTACACATTTGGGTCTACCAGATCTGTCCAGCATCTTCCCCCGCCATCTGATCCAACTCACTACCAGGTGGTGATCAGTTGACAGCTCAGCTCCTCTCTTTACCCAAGTGTCTAAAACAAATGGCCGCAAATCAGATGACACGACTATGAAGTCAATCATTGATCTACAACCTAGGGTGTCCTGGTGCCAAGTGCACTTATGGACACCTTTATGTTCGAACATGGTGTTCGTGATGGACAAACTATGACTAGCACAGAAGTCCAACAACAGAACACTGCTCGGGTTCAGATCAGAGAGGCCGTTCCTCCCAATCACGCCCCTCCAGGTCACACTGTCATTACCCACGTGGGCATTAAAGTCCCCCAGCAAAATAAAGGAGTCCCCAGCTGACGCACCTTTCAGCACCCCTTCCAAGGACTCTAAGAAGGCCGGATACTCTGAACTGCAGTTTGGCGCATAGGCACAAACAACAGTTAGAGCCCATCCCCCCACCCAAAGGCGAAGGGAAGCCACCCTCTCATCTAAATGGTAAATGGACTGTACTTATATAGCGCTTTTCTATCTTATTTCAAGATACTCAAAGCGCTTTACACTACAATATGTGTCCTCATTTACCCATTCATACAGCACTCTACTAGATCACTACAAAGCTAATTGAACAAATCATTTTAAAGAGACTAATCAGTGCTTTAGATCACATTCATACACTGATGGGACACACATCAGAGGCTATGAGGGGTTCAGTGTCTTGCCCAGGGACACTTTGACATGTGACTGCTTGTGGATTCGAACCCCCAACTCTCTCATTGGAGGACGACTGCTCTAACCCCTCAGCCACAGCCGCCCCCCTACTACTACTACTACTACTACTACTGGGGAAAACTCCAACACACAGGCACCAAGTCAGGGGGCTACAAATAGACCCACACCAGCTCGACGCCTCTCACCATGGGCAACTCCTGAGTGGAATAAGGTCCAACCCCTCTCAAGGAGAACAGTTCCAGAGCCGATGCTGTGCGTCGAGGTGAGCCCAACTATATCTAGTCGGTACCTCTCAACCTCGCGCACAAGCTCAGGCTCCTTCCCTGCCAGAGAGGTTACATTCCATGTCTCAAGAGTTAACTTTGGTTAGAGCAGTCGTCCTCCAGTGCAAGAGTTGGGGGTTCAACTCCACCAGCAGTCACATGCCGAAGTGTCCCTGGGCAAGACACTGAACCCCACATTGCCTCCAATGTGTGTCCCATCAGTGTATGAATGTGATAAAGTACTGATTAGTCTTTGTAGAGATCTAGTAGAGTGATGTATGAATGGATAGATGTGGGCATAGATTGTGTTGTAAAGAACTTTGAGTGTCTTGATAAGCTAGAAAAGATCTATATAAGTGCAGACTATTTACCATTTATGACAATTAAAAAAAAAGTTTTTGGATCATTGTTTTGAAAAGACCCTTCAGCCCACTCAACCCTTTAGAACCAGCAGCCAAAAAACAAGCATCATTTTGCTCAGTGGATGGACATAGAGGTTTTAATCTTATTTTTACATTATTTATTTATTTATTTGTAAAACTCTACTCCTGCACAATGCCAGTGTTTGCTTTAATTTTTATTTTTACTGAATCAATTGAGCTGCTGTAGTCCGGTCCATCTGCATATTGGTGTCAGAAGCATTTGTAGTGTTCAGGGTCACACTGGTGTTGGGTCCGAAGGGCCTCCCCCAGAAAATTTTTAATAAATTAGATGCCATTTCCTGCATTCTGGTGTATTTTAACAGGTTGTTAAACATATATTTACCTACATAAGTAAATCCATCATCTTTACCCGCTTCTTCCTTTTTGGTCTGATTCAATAATTATTTTAGACAGCACGTCACAACAAGAAGTAGCCTGACCAACAGCTCTTCTTGTGTGAATAGAGACTGCGGTGAAGTTGGTTTTTGGTTGGATATTGAATATTCATGCTCCGCAGATTCAGCCGCAGTAGAGCACACTCCGTCCGCTTCTCTCATGCATCCTAAGCCCTATTCTATCCTAAGCATCTATTAATCAAGTGGAGTGGATTAATTCACGAAGAAATAGAAACAGCATTGAGTGAACTAACATTTCAAAGGTAAATGTGAGGGGTTCAAATCAATATTTTTCAAACGTGAGGGGGACTCATCCCCCTCACATATAATTGGTGCAATGCCTATGCATCCGCCAACAGTGCCATGGTTTCAGTCAAGCCAGGACTTAACAGTAACTGGCCTCCTTACCGTTAGTAATGAGCATGCGTAAAATTAGGCCCCATGCTTGAAATAGATTCACATCTATTACTGGTATTCCGATATATTTCTGGTCGATTTTCATTTCTTGTGTTTTAGTCTTTACATCTGCTTTCTATTGATTTTTATATACAAACATATTCATAATTTACTTTTGCTGGTATTTTATGCTGTGACAGATATGATTTTCAGCCCATAACACTTACATCTGTCATCATGAAGTGCTTTGAGCAAATTATCAAAACTCACATCTGTGCCTCCCTCCCTGACACCGTGGAACCCTTGCAGATCACATACAGAGAAAACAGTCTACAGATGATGCTATTGCTTTAGCTGTTCACACCTCCCTCAGCCATCTGGAGAAGGTAAACACCTACAGTATGTGAGAATGCTCTTCATTGACTACAGCCCAGCATTCAACACGAGAATCCCCTCCAAGCTGGTTTCCATTGACTGACTGTACTGCCAAACAGCTCTAACATCATCCACAATATGCTGATGACACCACCATCCTGGGCTTCATCACCAACAATGATGAGAGTGCCTACATAAATGAGGTGAAATCACTGACCAGCTGATGTCAGGAAAATAACCTCTCTGTGAATGTCAGCAAAATGAAGGAGATGATAGCGGACTTCAGGAAACAGCATGGCGGCCAGCACTCCCCCATCAACATAAACAACGCTGAGGTGGAGCAAGTCAGCAGCTTAAAGTTCCTCGATGTTCATATTACCAAGGATTTGTCCTGGACTTTACATACAGACACTGTTGTCAAGGAAACCCAACAAGACTTTACTTCCTAAGAAGACTAAAGAAGTTTGGTACGAACATAGGCATCCTCACCGACTTTTATAGGTGCACCATTGAGAGCCTGCTGACAGGCTGCTTCACAGGATGGTATGAGAACTGCACCAGTCAGAGCTGGAAACAACTATAGAGGGTGGTGCAAACAGCAGAGGAAATAACGTAGCAGTCTCCACACCATCCAGGACATCTACCAAAGCCAATGTCTGCGTAAAGCATGCAGCATCATTAAGGACCACACCCACCGAGCACAAGGACTCCTCTACTACCCTCAGGGAGACGATACAGAAGTTTGTCATTGCGCACAAAAAGACTCAAAGCCAGTTATTATCCACAAGCTGTCAGATTACTGAACTCGATAAATAATACTGAACTATTGACAATAACATTGCACTAAACCACATCTGTGACAACTAATATGTTTATTGCTGCTGCACTATGTGGCTGTATCATGTATGTCACTACCTTACCATCATAATTCATCTCAATGTTACTACCTGTGCAATAACGTGTCACAACCTGTGTAGTTTAGGCTAGTTATGTGCGATATATCATGTGCATTTTAGCTTATACTACTACCTTGAAATACTTTTTCATACAAATTCATCCTACTTGCACTGTTATATTCTACCATGTTGTTGTTTACTATTTTTCTTTTGGACCTTGTAAATATTATACAGTAATGTTTTTCTTTTTCACTTTTTGATACTTTATTTTGTACCCTTATTGCATGCTTTAGTATTTCTTGTTTGTTTTTCTTTGTTTTAGCGAGTCATATCAGTTCATCTCATCCTGAACATTTCATTGTACTCTTGACCTTTTGTTAACCTGTTTATAACAAATAAACAACATATCATAACATATTCTCAATGTGAAATGTTGCTGGGTGTCTAAATAATTGCAGAGTACAACTGAAACATATGAGCAATGTTTAAACTAAGTGTAGTTCAACATTCAACAGACTGGATGGCTCCATCTAGACCACAATGCATCAAAAGGTACTGAACTGAAGCATGCTCACAGAGTGGCTGATTCTTGACACATGCAAGTGGAACAGCTTTTTGTACTAAATACTCTACATATGCATGAAGCAAACTTTTTTGTTGCTCTTTACATCAAAACTAAAACAGTTTTGAAGGACAAGGTGAGATACCGAACACCACAGCAACATTCAGTCATGAAAGATGCACAGTGTATGTTGCAGCCCCGTGTTCGCCATATTTACAGTGAAGCATCACTAAAATAAAAATCACAAGAATAGTGTTAAAGTTTAAATTAAATAAAACAACACCAAAAGAAATACAACATTTTATAAGTAAATTTGGGATAAAAAAAAAAACACATTTATAATTAATTTCAAAATGGTAATTTTTCCCTGGAACACCAGAGGAAAGTATTGTTACTGGTTTTGGGAGCAGTCCAAACAATTCTAAAGCTTAAAAAATGATTTTGTAAGCTTTTGTAAGCTATGAAATAATTGTGTTAATTAACACTAAAAAAATTATTAATTAAAAACACTAAAGAGGTGTGGTTGATTTTGCCCATGAGACCTACCAACAGAAATTAAAACAAGCTCACTTGAACCTGTTTCTTTTTGTTTTTTGATCGTGTAAGATAATTACTGTGTAAAAAAATCTTCATTAATCTGGAGGATATGAATAAACGTTGAATCTCTGAGGCTTTACCTGTCCATCAATCTCTGCCCATGCCCCCGGGACTTTGTCATTCCCTCTGATCCAGTTGTGGAGAGCCTCAGCTGACTGGTTCCAGTCAATCTACCAATAGAAAACATTGCTGTCATTATCACAGCACCAACTTGACCCTTCCTTTTTTATAATAAAAATACCATACCATACCACTTTATTTATAAAGCACTTAAAACAGCAACAAGGCCAACCAAAGTGCTGTACAGACAAAACAACAGGTAACACACAAAGCAAAATACAAAATGAGGTAAATCAGAATATAGACAAAAAACGATGCAGATAATGACGACAAACCAGTGTAGAGCATACAGGATCAAAACACAGATCATCTTGTGTTGAAAGCTATTGAATAGTAATGAGTTTTTAAACGGGACTTGAAAACCGAGAGGGGGGGGGGGGGGGGTTTGACAAGAAGAAGGAACTCGTTCCAGAGTCTTGGTCCTGCTACAGAGAAGGCCCTGTCACCTCTGCGCTTAAGACGAGTTCCTGGAACTGTGAGGAGCAACTGGTCCGCTGACCTCAGGGAGCATGGTGGGACATACGGTTGTAGTAAATCAGAGAGATGGGGGGGGGGGGGGGGCACACTGTTCAGTGATTTGTAGACATACATGAGTATTTTGAACTGGATTCGAAAGTGAACCAGTAACCAGTGCAGTGAGGCCAAAACTGGTGTAATGTGCTCTCTTTTGCCTGTACTGGTTAAAAATTGGGCTGCTGCATTCTGGACCAGTTGTAGTCATGCAATGGAGGTCTGACTGATACCAAACAGGAGCAAATTGCAGTAATCAAGCCTAGATGTAATGAATGCATGTATTACTGTTTCCAGGTTCTTTTTGGACAATATGGGCTTCAGTTTAGACAGCCGCCTCAGTTGGAAGAAGCATGATTTAACAATCATGTTTACATGATTGTTAAGTTTCAAGGAAGGGTCCATTATCACGCACAGATTAGTGACTATTTGTTTTTCTGACAGGGTTAGAGCGGAAAGGTCGATGCAGTGGTTTGTGATTGTGTCGTTGGGAGGGAACAACATGACTTCAAACTTCTTTTCATTGAAACTTAAAAAATTTAAAGCCATCCAGTCCCCGATGTCAGCCAGGGAACAAAACAATTTTGAAGTCAATGAAGTTTAGTTTGTTTTCCGTTCAGTGCTTTATATTTCAACTTAGTTCTATTCTTTTACCTTAGCATTTTCTTTTTTCTGGATACATTCGTATGTGGCCCCTGTCTCAGGCTGTGTGGTCCTCTGTGCCTTCCCTTCAGTGATGAGTCTCACAGCTTCCACCTGAAACCACACCAGAGTTTTTAAATCACCTGAGGCCGACATGAGATAAATGGACTGTACTTATATCGTGCCTTTCTATCTTATTTCAAGATACTCAAAGCGCTTTATACAACAATCTGTGCCCTCATTTACCCATTCATAGAACACACTACTATATCCCTACAAAGATAATTGAACAAATCATTCTAAAGAGACTAATCAGAGCTTTAGATCACATTCATACACCGATGGGACACACATCAGAGGCTATGAGGGGTTCAGTGTCTTGCCCAGGGACACTTCGGCATGTGACTGCTGGTGGATTCGAACCCCCAACTCTTGCATTGGACGACGACTGCTCTAACCACTCAGCCACAGCCGCCCCAGATACAACCTTCAGAGCATGTTGAGAACCGACTGATGGCAGTTGTTGGCACTGAGTTCTCAAGGCTAGAGGCACAAAATAGATCCAAGGGCAGAAATTACACCTCGTTTATTGTGGGGTGGGGGTTGAGGGGGTCCTTGGGATACAGTCCCATGAATGTGATCTAAAGCTCTGATTAGTCTCTACAGATGCAGATTATCTTTGAGATGTAGTAGAGTACTGTGTGGATGTGTGTTGGATGTAAATGAGGGCACAGATTGTGTTGTAAAGAGCTTAGATCTTTGTGTATAAGAAAGAAAGGTGCTATATAAGTACAGTCCATTTACCTTTTGAATCAGCTCCCAGTCATGTGACCTACAACAAACGCTTTCTCTTCTTTTATACAAATATACAAACATTTGACATTCATCCATACACAATATTAAAGTCCAAAAAGAAAAAATATTCACAACCACAGAGAGACACAGTATATGTAGCACTTCAATGTTACCATGGAAACGCATCAACAAAATCTCTGCCTCAATCATTAAATATTTTTAATGTGCTCATTTTGCAAGTGATTAATGCTGAGAAACTATTAATGTACATTAAATAAGTGTTCAGTTTCCTCAGTCTAAAGTTTTGAACCACGTTAAAGATGTTTTTAATATAGTTTGGATTAAATCTGTGGTCACTGAATCATTTTTACTGATCTGTAGCAGTTTCACAAGACTTTAGCGCTCCAAATTAATACATGTTAACTAATAAAATACATGTGTTGAATGAATAACTTCACTACATCAAACAAAAATATTCTTCAGACATTGATTTATTGCGCTCTGTCTTTATAATGAGCCACTGAAATGACTGAACAAAATCTATCCTTCCTAATAATCAGAGATCCTTCTAAACATTATGGGGCGGCTATGGGTGAGTGGTTAGAGCAGTCGCCCTTCAATACGAGAGCTGGGGGTTTGATTCCACCAGCAGCTGAAGTTTCCCTGAGCAAGACACTGAACCCCTCATTGGGGTTCAGTGAACAACTCACCAGTTGGCGCATCGGTGTATGAATGAACTAAAGCACTGGTTAGTCTTTGTACAGATCTAGTAGAGTGCTATATGAATGGAAAATGAGGACACAGATTGTGTTGTAAAGTGCCTCGATAAGATAGAAAGGTGCTATATAAGTACAGTCCATTTACCATTATAGAAATATTACAGTTTTGTTGTATGTCAGGACAGCTTTTCTGGGGACACACTACTAATTAATTATTCTTAAAGCTAGTTCAAGCACAAAGAATATTAATTGTTTAATTACAACGGATTATTTTCTTTTTCGAGTTAAATTTCTGCCATGTGACCGAGATAAATGTGAGTGGATTGTTTCATCAGTGACATGAGACACCATTTTATCTTTGACCCATCAGAATAAATGCGGTCATTTATTTAACAGAATCAAAATTTAACATCAAAACATGTACACATTGATTTGCTGATCTGTTTCTGATTAATAAACTTGGCAAGCTTTACTAACAAGACAACAGAACATTACTGATCGAGGCCAATTCACCTCTGAAGGCATCGAGCTTGATTACTGGTGAATAGAAAAGTTAAAGAGGAGAAATAGAAGTTTAAAAATTTAAAGAGGGATGAAAGCTATGTGTGGAACCAGGACATTGCACCCTTCCTCCGACATCCCGCTCAACTTTCTGGTACACTTCAGGACGTGCAGCGACTTTGTTACCTTAGATGGGGGATACCTCCATTCCGGAACAGAAGTCTATTAGTACGCTCCCTTTACAGTGTCTCCGGTTAAAGTAGCTGGGGTCATCAGAAATCGTGACAAAGTACTCGGTTCCACCAAATAAGCTTCCTTAGAAGTGGAGCATTTACTACTCGGGTTGAGTGCACAGCGATGCGAGCTGTGACTCCGCTAAATGGAGGGACCCCTTGGCACATGGTCCTATCCATCCGCTGCTTAAGTGAGTCTCATCTCTGACCAAAAGTTCCAGCAAGACTTAGAAGAGACTAAGACTTAAGACACCGACTGAGTTCCAAGACTGAACTCCAGGACTGAACTTCAGAACTGAACTGAATAGTTCCACGAAGTGTTCCTTTTAAAGGGGTATACACTTCCTGTTACGTGGTACTTCCTGATTGGTTGAAACAACCATCAGGGGTGTGGTTCTAGTGATGTCAAGAGGGTCACTAGAAGTCAAGAGACAGCAGGAATGTTTAAAAAACGGTTAGTACACATGGAGAAATGTTATGACGAGGTGAGACAAACGCAGGTGTCAGTTGA